ATCACCACCAAACCAGTATTAGTGGAAATGCTGAAAGGTATCCTTTAAAGAGAGGAAGAAGAAGAAAAAGGTAAAGATCCAAATTATGAACAACAAACATGCATCTATCAACAAGTGAATCTAAGAATCAAGTGAATAAATAATCTGGTGATCATAATAGAATCAGGGACATAGAAAGGGAAGACTGACTATAGGGGTGTGGGAGATGCGGAAAGAGACTGGACAAAAATCGTGCACCTATGGATGAGGACAGTGGGTGGGGAGTGAGGTCGGAGGGTAGGGAGGGAACTGGGAGGAGGGGAGTTATGGGGGGAAAAAAGAGGAACAAATGTAATAATCTGAACAATAAAGATTTAATTTAAAAAAAAAAACAAAAAAAACACTACTATTCTTTTAAAAGGTATTTTTAACATATAATTTTAAAAAACAAATAATTTATTTCACATGTAGCTACTTAAACCCTCAAGAACTATGGTTGTTGTTGTTTTTAATGAATTAATTAATTTATTGTCTAAAGTTTTACGTATTTCTTTTTCCACAATTGACACCCCCCCCCATTCCTACCCCAGGCAAGCCCCACCACCCCAGTGTCTGTGTCCATTGGTTATGCTAATATGCATGCATACAAGTCCTTTGGTTGCTCTCTAACCACCACCCCCACCCCCCCGCCATTTGTCTCTGGATCTATTCTTGTTCATCAAATTATGTTGATCATTATATCCCACATATGAGTGAGACCATATTTGTTTTTTAAGTAGAAGCCTAGAAGCATGCCTTTAAAATGAGATCGTTCATGATTTGTTCTTTGGAGGACTTTATTTTAATAAGGTTCTTCTACAATTGGATGGTGACAAACTTTAGGTTTGTTGGGATTATTTTTCAACAGCCAATCAGCTAGCCAAATCTATGGAAAAAAGAAAAGATACCTTAACTTAGTAAACATTTACATATTTTCTTCAATATATAGTATATCAATTTAAACCTAAAACAGTTTTCAAAATCACTCTAAGAATAATGAAAAAATGACCATTAGGAACTGAAACACTAAATTTTACAGTATGTAAGATTGTCAAGTACAGATCCAAATTGGAAAGAAAGAAGTAAAACTATTTCCAGTTACAAATGATATGATCCTATATATAGAAAATCCCAAAGAATCCACAAGAAAGCTACCAGAGCTAATAAATGAATTTGGCAAAGTTGTAGGTTATAAGATCAACACAAAAAAATCAGTTGTTTCTATACATTGCTAACGAACAATCCAAAAAGGAGATTAAGAAATCACTTTCATTTATAATAGCACTGAAAAACAGGTATCTAGGAATAAATTTAACCAACTTGTATAACTGAAAACTATTAAACATAGCTGGTATCCTCCTATGTTAGAAGTTGGCTTTTTGCAGATCTTGGTGTTAAAAGACAAAAACAAAACAAAACAAAAAACCAAACAAACAAAAAAACAACCACCACATAGTTGAAAAAAATTTAAAGACCTAAATAAATAAAGACATCTGTGTTAATGGATAGAGAGACTTAATAATACTGTTAAGAAGTTAAATATCAATACTACCCAAACTGATATGCATATTCAACACAATCAATATCAAATTTCCAACAATCATTTTTGCAGAAATGGAAGAGTCAATGCTCAGATTTATATAGAATTTCAAGAGGGCTCTAAATAGCTAAAACAATCATGAAAAAGAACAAAATTGGAGGATTTTCTGACTTTGTTCTTTCTTATTTCAAAATCTTCTTCAAAACTATAGCAATCCAAGCAGTGTGGTTCTGGCATATAGATAGACATATATAGGCCAATGGAATAGCACTGAAGGTCCAGAAATAAACCCTAACACATATATAAAAATTAATTTAAAATGGATCAACAGCTGAAATATAACAGCTAAAACCATTAAAATCTTTTTTTAAAATTTTTTATTAAATCTTTATTGTTCAGATTATTACATTTGTTCCTCTTTTTTCCCCCCATAACTCCCCTCCACCCAGTTCCCACCCCACCCTCCTCCCTCACTCCCCACCCACTGTCCTCATCCATAGGTGTACGATTTTTGTCCAGTCT